GTCAAATCAGTAAAAGCAAAAACAAAATACATGTAAGGCGAAGAAATTAGCTGATTTTACAACACCACCTTGTATAAATTCGCCTTGGCTTTAATGTTTTGAACTTATGTACATATAACTACTCTCATAGTAAAAATGAGTTCATATCGTCACTACACACGAATAAAGGCGCGCTAGTGTTTTGTACGATAAAAGACGCTTAAAAAAACTTCGGCGAAGAAAGACGCGTAAACATAGATTTATATCTGGCTAAGGACTATACACCCGCAAATATAGTCGACCGCGAAAATAAGTTTACGCGTCTTTCTTCGCGATCAATTATGTTAGGAGTCTTTCTTCGCTAAAGCTTTTTTGATGCGTCTTTTTTCGCGGTCAATTTTTGGGCTCGCGCCTTTATTCGTGTCTAGTGACGATATGTATTCTGTTTTAGTGATATATGTACTGGTAATCAATACAGCTATGAAACAAGGCGAATTGATATAAGGTGGTAGCGGTATTTTCTTTTCGCTTTCGGTACAAAGATGCCAAATTTCAGCTATCCTTCGCTCAAGGAGGAAGAGGGAAAGAAAATTCCGACACGAATTAAAGCAGCTGTTCTAGCAACACCACCTTAAATGAATTCGCCTTGGATATGAAATTTTTACACAACAGATAGTACTTAACTCAATTTGTTTTTTATTTTTTGGATTATTACACTATTGAAGTAGATAAAAAGATGCTAAAATGTATGTATTTTATTGTTTTTATCAACAGCAATCGAATTCAAATTTCAGAACAAACAGTTTAGGTAGTGTCAGATGAAATCGCAGTTTGATCAGCTGTTTAGCTAAATTGAAGCAATGGCCCTTATTATGAGCTGCATTCGATTTTCGATCTTCGCTGGCTATCGAAGATCGAAGATCGAAAGTGAAATTCGTATTATGAGCTATGCAAGCGTGTCGAAATTTTCGTTGAGTATCGAATTTTCTGTCGAACAGAATTTTGCTTTCGATCGTGTAGCGAAGTGTTAGAAAATTGTGAAAAATTTATGATTTTGTGTATGTTTTCTTACATTTTGGCGGCTAGACACTAATTTTAAACAATTTTTATTAATTTCATGCAGTTCTAACATCGTGAATACTAAACACAAGCACGAAAGGCTGGTTTTACTTGTGAAAGTAAATCCCAATACTCTGTTGGCACGATCTCTGAGAACAAAATCGTAGCGCTGTTGATAGTTTTAAAATATTTTAAATAGATTTGGCTCACAAACGCCTCTTTAGATGGTCGGAACTTTTTAATGAATCTGTAGACAAATTTCTTAAATATATTTTATATCAAAATATATTCGAAAGACTAATAAACTTAAACTCTCTTAAACATTTGCTACTCCTGGCCAGTTTACTAAGCTCTCATCCTCTGACGAATCGTTGAACCAGAACTCGTTGTACTCATTTTACCACGTTTTTATAAACTTGCTTTCTTTTTTACTTCATTTTAATTAGAACAAATTTACATAAATATGTATAAGCACACTATTTAGTTTGCTCGATTTGTAAACAAAGCTTCTCAGCGGTGAAAAATATACTATTGTGAACAACCTAAACGAGCGAAATTCACAATAGCGCTATTCTTCATCGAATGAGCGCCATAATACCAAATGAAAATTCGTTCGCTCAGCACTTTCGACCACAGTCGAAAATCGAATGCAACTCATAATAGGGGCCAATGTTGGATATTTCCAGTGGAGTTCAAATTTGGGTTCCACTAAAATTAAATACCGCCGCCGAAGAAGTAGTCGGATTTCGGCGAGCCTGAAAGAATAATTGGTACGATGAGGAATATCAAGAAGCTTCAGAGAAAAAAGATGCCGTCTATAGGGGCAACGCGAGCCATGTGGGACCGTTATATGGAACTGAAGAAGGAAGCGAGACGCATTTCCCGTAATAAGTCCTATTGACTGGCAGAAGCACTGAAAGCAGTGGAGAAGAAAAACCCGAGCCCCCAGTCGATGACGATGGAGTCGATGTCCCCTCGCCTGACTATGATGAGGTAAGAATAGCGATTACTCGGCTGAAAACTAATAAAGCTGCTGGAGTTGATAAGGTGCATGCATCAACTCTTATGCAGAATATGGTCAGATGAACGCATATCCGACGGCTGGAATTTAATGGTGATTTCGTTTCTACCAAAAAATTTTGCCTTTTGATTGCCCCTTTCTCTTTTCGTGTTCGATTCTAAATTAAAGGCCAAAGGTGGGAAAATTGTGTGTTCGTTTCTTAAAATGTTGCACTCTTGTAAGACAAAAAAGGCACATTCTCTGCTCTGTGAAGTTTTGTCAGGGGAGATGGTTGCCCTGAAAATTAGATGGTTGTTTAAAACGACAATATTATGAAATGTATGAGATAGACAAGGACAGGAAAGCAAAAACATGCCTTTTTACAGGGTTTAGTGTAACATCAAACACATTTTGCACCGGGGAAGGGCAACATTTTTTGGATGAGAGGAAATCACCATAAGTGTGCTCTGCCCAATCCACAAGAAAGGCGACCCCGCCCTACGTGGGATCAGCATTCTAAGCATAGGTTACAAGGTCTTATAGAATTTTTATGTAAAAGACTGAAGCCCACCGTCAACGAACTGATTGCGCCTTATCAGTGTGGCTTTAGACCTCACAAACCCACCATAGACCAGGTATTCATAATACGCCAATTCTTGGACAAGGCCCGCGAGAATAGTATCTACACACACCGTCTATTTCCCAATTTCAAAGCTGCTTTCGACAGCACGAAAAGAAGTTGTCTTTATGCCGCGATGTCTGAATTCGTTGTCCCGGCGAAACTTGTACGGCTGTGTACAAAGACTTTAAGCAATACCATCAACTCCTTCAGAATTGGGAAGGGCCTCTCCGAGCTGTTTTATACCAAACGAGGTTTCAGACAAGGTGAGTCCCTTTCGTTTGATTTCTTTAGTCTGATATTGGAGAAGATAAGAGCCGCAAAACTGAACCGCTTAGTTACAATACTTTACAAGAGCGTACAATTGCTGACGTATGCCGACCACATCGACATTATTGGTAAAAACAAGAGCTTCGTCTGTTCTGCCTTCTCGGGATTGGATAGAGGTGCAAAGCGAATGAGTCTGGTGGTGAACGAGGACAAAACGAAGTATCTCCTGTTATCACACAAACAGTCAGAGCATACGCGTCTTGGCACCCACGTCGCTGTTGATAGTTAAAAGTTCGAAAAAGTAAACGACTTCGTTTATTTGAGAACCAGAATTAACACCAATAATAGTGCAAGCCTTGAAATCTAACGGAGAATCACTCTTGCGAACAAGTGCTACTTTGGACTGAGTAGGCAATTGAGAAGTAAAGTCCCCTCTCGTCGTACAAAGATCACACTCTATAAGCCACTCTTCATGCCGGCGCTGGTGTATGGCGCGAAGGCATGGACAATGAAAACATCTGATGAAGCGGCTCTTGGAGTTTTCGCGAGAAAGATTCGGCGCAAGATTCAGGGACCTTTGCGCGTTGGCGATGGCGAATACCGCAGACAATTTAACGTTCAACGCGGGTTGCGATGCAGATAACGGAGGAAGAGGAAGGCCTCCTCTGTGTGGGAAAGACCAGGGAGCGAAGGACTTGGCTTCACTTGGAATTTCCAATTGGCACTGAAGAGAAACAAACGGCGTGCTTTGTTGAACTCGGCCAAAATCGCTTATTCGGTTTACAGCGCAAGTAAATAAGAAGAGAATAAAATTAAGGTCCGCTCACACACACCCTAAAAATACAAGTCGGGGCTGTATCCATTGTAATCATATGGGCATCTTCGAAAATGCTATCGCTGAAACCAAATTCTACGTTCGTAGCTGTTCGAACTCAGTGATTCGAGTAGATTTCACGAAAAATATTCAGTGATAGACCCGATTATTATTGTTTCTAAGAAAACAAGAATGAGAAAAACCGACTAACTAATAACAAAGTAATGAAAGATTTGTTCGTGCAGTTTTGCTTCAGAATTATTAATTAGTTTACAAAGTCAATGCTTCTGGAATAGCTTGATCCTTAAATGGTAAACAAATCTTTAAATATACCCTTTGGGTTTCCCATAAAACGGTGAGTGTTGGTACGAATTTGTTATGAGCAAGAGAAGCAAAATATAGTACATTATAAAACTTGTTTCAAAGTACGTATTTTGACCAAATAAACTCTATTGTTAATTATTGGAAATGGTTAAGTTGAATATCTTCTCGGATAGCCAAGCGGCCATTAAGGCACTCTCTTATACCTATTGGCCCATATCTCTGATCAATACGAAATTACCCTAATATGGGTCCCGGGACATACGAGACATTTACGGAAACGGGGCAAGGTGCAAGCTCGGCACTGAATGTGTCCCACAAAAAATTACCGAAAGGCCAAGAAGAGGTGGAACTGTGAAGGATCGTACAAGATTACCCGGCAGTTCTGGGTGTCCTACGACCCGCTTAAGACCAAAGCTTTCGTTAAGAATGAACAAAGAAGATACCTACAAACTTACTGCAGTGTGCATAGGGTCTGTCTCGCTGGGGTACTTGCCGAAAGGATTGGATTACCCTTCAACAAGTTTTGTCGCAGCTGAGATGACCCTGGCTCAAAAGCGCCACAGTCGAACGCTTCCTGTGCGAGTGTCCGCGCTCGGCAAACCATTGCTGCAGAATATTTCAGAGTGCAGATGCCTCTCTCTATATACGACGTACTCAAGTTCATTAAAGCCGCCAAACGGCTGTAGGTTGTACGAGTTGAGGAATCAAAATGGCAAACTTACTAATAGCTTGCCACCACTTAAACCAATCAAACATTCATATGAACCACTATTAAACGGTCAGTGTTTCTATTTACACAAGATTGTGACTGTGCTAAATTATAAGCCAATTTTATGCATAAATATGTATTGTATTTTTAAGTTAATTGTTTTCGTTATTTTCCTGTTAAAATACATTTGTTATATATTTTTGTACCGGCAATAAAATATTAGGAAAATATTTTGAATTGCATATTTTACTTGTTTATAGCGCCTATTTTTGAATTTTGAATGCATATTATATGCGCATATTTTCGATTTTTAGTGCATGAGATTCCGAGCCCTAGTTATGATGTTATATTAACCCAACCCCTCACCATAGAATTAGATTAGTTTCGTCCTAGTTTTAATTTAAAGTACACGTAGTGGTGGTACCTTTATATTGGTTGCGTTTAATGAAACCGAAAAAAGTGCAGAGCAACTCAAATTGGAGCAGAATAGAGCAGCTGTCAAAAAAACAAAGAGCATCTCAGATCATAAATCTCATGAAACACTCTTCAGGCAGAAATTCTCAAAACAGTTGATTGCTCGACAGTTCAATTCGTCAATTGTAAAGTGTGTGTGTGTGTTTGCTTGCTCTAAGTTACTCCATCAAAAAAGCTGGTGCAGAAAATCGTGCTCTTAGTTGCTCTAGTTCCACTTAGCGCAGGCTCATGAAACAAAAAGTAGAGTAAGTTAGAGCAAGAAAAATCCTCATGAAATACAATTTTGTGAGATATCTTAACCTGGCTTAACCTAGAGCAGCTCATTAAACACAACTATATAACATTCAGGTATTATGGAAACCTAATAAACTACAAACTCCCCAGGACCTGAGTACCTGGTCCGGGCGACATCTGAATTATCAAGTTTTCTTTAACAGCGGTCGCCCCTCGACGGGCAATGGCAAACTTCCGCAGGTGTTTTTGCCATGAAAAGGCTTCTCGTAAAATCCATTTGCCGTTTTTAAGCGGCATAAAACTGTAACAATATCAACACACACACAACCACAAATTGGAGAAGAAGCTCGGCCCAACAGTTAGCAAAAGTGTAAGCGCCAACATATTATTATTATTATTATATGTTAACTACAAATTTTACGAATTATACAAAGGCAACTTATTTATTTTGTTTTATTTATTTAATAATTCTGAACTCGTCCTCTCAGATCGCCTGCCTGTAAAGTGGCATGGAGAAGAGGCGGCTTGGAGACTAGTCCTTTCCAACATCCCGGTATCGGTAATTTGCTGCTCGGAATCTGGTCCATTCCGAGAGCTTCAAAAATATGATATTCTTATGGCGTTTTCGTTTTTACCAAAAAATGTTGCCCTTTCATTTCAAAAACGCCATTAAAATTTATGTAGGTAGATACTTATACATAAGCTATGTTATTACCAGAGCTGGGTAATTTATGATAATGATTACATATTTATTACGATTGCTCAATTGTAATCCTTAAATTACATACGATTACTTTATTTGTAACCATAAATGTTACCATTACGATTTAAGGACTAAGATTACTGTAATCGTAGTCATGAAATACATGATTACAAATACTGAAGTTGTAATCCTTAAAATTTTAAGATTACAATCACAGTAATAGCAATCATGAAAATTACGATTACTAACACTTTAATTGTAATCCTAAAATATTATGATTACAATTAATTAGGGCTGTGCGATTAATTGATTACTCAAAATTTTAATTAATCATAAAGTAAATAACTCAGTTATTCGATTAATTAGAAGTTATGATTACTCAAAAGTTCAGTTACTCGAGTAATCAAGATTTTTGATTAACCAAAAACAAAAATATTTGAGTAATTTGCTTTATGATTAATCATCATTTCGAGTAAAATGAGTAATCAACATTTCAACTATTTACATATGTATAAAGTAGTTAAAGTTCCTAGATACTTTTAAAACAACGTTTCGGTTTTCAAAAATTAAAACGAAATTTTTTTTTTCATATACAGAATGTAAAAAAGAAAATAAGCATTTTCCAAAGAAAACTCTTTTAACGAGCAAAATTATTTTTTTTGAGTAATCATATTTCAAGTAACTCGATTAATCATCGTTTTGAGTAATCAAAATCTTGATTACTCGAGTAATTGATTAACCGAATAATTGATTAACCAACTTGCTCGAGTAATCGAATAATCGCACAGCCCTACAATTAATGTAATAGTAATCAATAAATGTTGATTGCGATTTTCTGATGTTCCGTAGACTACAGTAGTCGTAATCGTTAAATTTTAAGGATTAAAATTAAAATATTCGCAACCAAGCATGTTATAATTTTAATAACAGTAATCGTAATGCTGAAAATTATCGGGATTACAATTACAGTAATCGTAATCCTAAGTAATCAAAATATAATCGTAATCATAAAGTGCCCAGCTCTGGTTATAAATATATTAATAGAAAATTTAAAAAAACTGTAAAAGAAAACTAACGTTACGTTATTTCTACATAAAACAAAAAAATCCTCTCTCGTCCACATAGAATATACAAGTTGTTCTGTGAAAGTAAACGGCTTAAAATTGTTTATATTGTGTGTAACTGATCCAGCGAGTTTGTAGTTGTACCGGTAGTACATATACACTCTATAACGCCAAGCGTCAAAAGTTTGTTTCCATTCCCCGACATTCTTAACAGCTCCCTGAGGTACATTGTTTAAGATAGCCGCTAATTTAATCCAATGTGATTCCAATACAGAATCGTTTCGACGTTTGGGCCAACATACACAGATTTTCTTCAAAATATTTTACATATACTTCTTTTTGGTCCTTCGAAATTCTTTCTCCGCGCCCTGTACAAAATTTTAAAATCCAATTATGTATTTATTAATAATAAAACAAAACAAAAATACCAACGTCTAAAGCGATTCATTTCAAATGGGTGTTGCTGATAGTTTACTTTTTTAGGGTTAGGTTTAGGGGTCAGTCCCGTCTCTAAATTTAAATGGTGGCCGTGGGCAAAATATCTGCGGGTTGTGGCTCTGCTCATCCTGGTTATCGTCAACTTTCATCTCATACTGTCGTTCGAATTCGCACGCACTCTGGTCTGTTTTGGGATCTGTACGCTCATCAGTAATTGATTGCAATTCAGATCTTGATACTTGTTCTGAGTACTCTTGGTAAGCACGATCCTTCTTTAGTGTTTCATAATCATTAGACAAAATGTTTTGCGCATCGCAAACTTTTATGACTTTCGGATACTTGAGTTGTTTGTTATCAAACAGATCTCCACATTCTTGTCTGTTGACGTTCAGGATGTGATCATTTTCGTGTAAACGTATGGTACCGTCAGACGCCATAAAGCTTTCCGCTGAAGGCGAATGCATCATTCCGTTATTTTGTGAAACCTCACATAGATTAGCTGAAAGAAAAAAGAACATTAAATGTAAAGAACATTTAATGTAAATAAGTTTACGAACTTACTAGAGGCCAAGTGCAGTATGGTAAGCGTGAAGTTATTTATTACAGTAACAAATTTTCAAAAACCTTAAAAGTTATTTTATCTAAAACAAATCCCTATAAATATATTTTCATCCCAATCAAAGCTTATACACATTTAATTAATAACATAACTAGTATATTGTCAGAGCCGGAACATAAATTTCTTTATCAAATAGTAAATGTATGTATGTACATAGCGCTCATTTACATCAATAGTGTCATAATTCAAAAATACATACAGAGTTAATACTTATTCTATGTTGCGTAAAAATTACATAGATATATCAATTACCAGTAGTTTACTAGTAGAAAATATGTATTCATTTTTACTATGGCCTCGATTTTGGTTCTTTATAGTTATTACACTATTGAAGTAAATGAGCGATATACATATGTACATATAATTCCTCCTGGATATTTATTTCAATTCATGTAGACCGTTGTATATATACATAGATATACATATATATGCATACATATGTAGAGATAAAATAGCCATTTCTACAATCCATTACTACATTAAAATAAAACAATTAACCAAATGGAATATGCAGATTTAACTTACCTTGACCAATTTCTATAACGAAATTGGTAAGATCATGACGTTGAGCTAAATAGTGCAATAGCAACTCATCGGGAATATTGAATCCAATCTTCTTGTTTCGAAATTCAAAGTTATAAATTCCAAATGCTGCCCTCACTAGAGTAGAAAATTGTGTTTCATACTTGATTTAATAGCAAATAGTTGTACAAAATATCCCCGTAGCGAATATCATGCATTAGTCACTTAAATTGTAATTTAGTCGTTGATGGCCTCTGCATGACTTTTTCATGCAGTGATCCATGATGAAATTCAAGCGACAATGTCCTGCAATGAACTTTTTTTTATAAGTGACCACTGCAAGACATTGTCTGTTATAAGTTTTTGATAGGAGTACACCTGCATGACATTGTCAGATATATCGCACACCGTCTTCAAAAGAGTCACAACTTAAAATTTGGCATTTTTGTTGTTGTTGTTGTAGCAGCATACAAGTTCCCCAAAGAAATTTTGGGGAGTGTTGCTGGAGTGACAGTCCTTGGCCAAATATAAATCTGGGTATTTCCGGTTACATAGACCCGATTGTCGTGGCATTTTTGAAATTATACGCTAAAAATGCACACAGAGCTTTTACTTACCTTTCAGCAAAAGCTGGAGCAAACTTCTGTTATAAATTGATAATAAAACCTAAGGTAAAGTCGCGCTTGCCCACATGATTAGCATGTGCTACGAAATCGTTTTTCGCATTTTCTGACGAACGTATTATTTTGAGTTGTGCCTCTTTTGAAGGCGGTGTGCGATACGTCGTTTAGAATTCACAGCAAGGGCGACGATGTCGCATTCGTTCCCACGACAGTTGGGTCTACGTAACCGGAACGACCCAGATTTATATTTGGCCAAGGACTGTCACTCCAGCAACACTTCCCAAAAACTCTTTGGAGAGCTTGTATGCTGCTACAACAACAACAACAACATGTCACTAAATTCTCATTAGTTACGATGTCACCAGTGACAATTTTCGCTACTGGGATTAGTACGTATGTATGTATGCATGTACATATGCGAGTAATTTATACAAGCAGTATTTTAGCATATTTCAGAATATAATTATTTCGCATACCAACATTCCTCAAATCCCAGATGTTCAGATTACGGTTTTCCTCAGGTACCCCAATCATCAGCAGCTTCTTGTTGTCACGGAATTGAAAAGGGATAATTATGCCCGACCGCAATACCATTTTGGTTTGCCTCCAAGAAGTTTTTTTCTGATTTCTGATTTTTTTATGAATACTTTTCTAAATACGTCTGTTGCAAAATAAACTGATTGCTGTTTGGAAGGACTTTACGTTTTTGGTTGCTTGTTTTTCTCTTGACTTTTAGCATTTACTTTGTCATATCGTTCTCATACACAATCCACAAATTTAACTTGTCAGAGAGTGGATCGTAGTAGGTCTGTTCGAAGAGTGCACTAAAAGTGTAGAACAGAGTATATATATCAGTTTAAATTATAAAAATTATCTATTCATTATTACGCTGACTACACACGAGGCAACCGTCGAGGCAACCAGGTATTTTGCTTCTACCTCTGTCTCGTGTGTAGCATTGTTGCTCACAGAAATTAGTGTTGCCGCAACCGTGGCCCGAACTATAGTTTTTTTTTTATATTTGGTTTTGGTTGCCTTGTCGCTTGCCTCGTGTGTATCGTTGTGCATTGAGTTTATAGACTTAAAGCTCAGTTAGTCTAGACTTAACTTAAATTAACTTACCGTAAGAAATCTTCAATGATTACTTTACACGTCAACTTAAGCCAAGAGCGGAAATATTTTGTTTTTGTATTATCTCTTACAGCTGTATACAAGTTCGCCGCCTAAAATGCCACATCAAAAAAAATCATGCAAACAAAAATGTTTGCTTTCATTTATTACAGATACAAAAACGAGGGGCTGGCAAGCCTGATTCTCTCACCGCTCTCAATTTCCGTAAGACCGTAACTTAAGAACCTAAAATCTACAGGTTGTTAAGTTTCTTACGGTAAGTTAAGTTTTAACTAACCGCCAACACAGTTTCTCATATAACAGGTTGGTCAAAATATTAAGTTAAGTTAAGTTATTGAAATTAGACTAACTGAGCTTTTAGTTCATTGAAAAAAGTGAGTGGAAAAAGTATTTTGGTAGAAAACAAAATTGTCTCCCGCTTGTTCATTTTACAACAGAGCACACACTACTGAGGTTGAGGTGTGTACAAAGCAAGAAAAATAGGTTGCCTCAACACGTTGCTTCAACGGTTGCCTCGTGTGTAGGTGTAGGTAGCATTACATTTTGTCATTAATTTCAATTACGTTATTTAAAAATTAATATATTTTCCATTTGTTGATGAAAATTGGTATAGTATGATTTTTTCACTGAGGAACACCAAATCTCTCGCTATGCTAGAAAAAGTATGCTTCGTACTTTTTGCGGGATCTCGCATGCGTCGTTTCGGAAGCGAGATTTTCCAGCACTTGAAGACGGCCGGTGAAATTTTAGAAGTCGATGTTTAAAATATTGTTACGATTATCCTCGAAACCTTGAGGGATTTCCCAAAT